AATTCAGGGCAGATGTTTCTGTCCCTGTTCCTAGAAGCAGCAAAAGTAGTATTAGCTACACCAGGTGCTTTGTAACACTGGGTAGCCAAGGAAGGCCTTTAGAAATTCTAATTCAAGACTGGAGTTCAGGCAAAGATCATAGATGCTCAGAACTCAGCTTTATCTTCCATTTTTCCCTTCTTGTCTTTTCCCCTGTCTCTCTCTCTCTCTGCTTCAAACGTCCCTAAGGAATCCTCCTGTCATCCAGACCTGGGGTACCAGATACAAAGAGATTGCTTAGAAATGAATTCTTCAAACTAGCTGGAACCCTAGTGAGTTATGCCTACATCAGGGACCTTGCCCTCAAGAATGTGGGTGATCCGTTCATGTCAGTGGCACAGTGCATCCTGACACAGCGCTGAGCACAGACCCTGCAACATGCACCCCCTCCTGAGTCCTGCCTTGCCTCATTGTCCCCCTGACACAATAAGAAGTATTTGGACATCTACAGCCTGGACCTCCCCACCAACTGAGTTAGGACCTCAGGTGGAATTGAGCACCAGGATTTTCTAAATGACACCAGGCAATTCCAGTATTGAAAAGGAGTTGTTGGGCATGTTTACTGCACTGGGGAGACTAAGATGGATGAAGAATGGGGCAAATTAGGCAATTGCCTCAGCCCCAAGGGATGTTAGTAAGATGATAATAAGATCTCTATCTTCTAAACAAACAGCATTTGATGTAGTTCTTACAAAATCAAAATTAATCATACTTAGTATACTTAGTATACACACATATATAAACAATAGCACAGACAGTGAGGAAATTGACAATAAACAAAACAGAGGTCAACCCTGCCCTTTTGGTTTCCCCAATTTTAGTGAGGTCAGAGATAAACTGAACAGGAAAGACACTGTGATACATTTACATCAACTCAGATGGGGACACTTGTCACAGGATGAATACATAGAAGATATATGTCAGGGAGAGAGACTAGGGAACAGCCTCTGACCTCGGGGCTACAACGAGAGTTCTTTAGGTAAGATATTCAAAGAGGCCAATGTTGGAAAGGACATTTGATATATGAAGGAAGATTGAAGATTTGTCAGTTATGCCTTGTCAGAGATGAGGACATCTTTTGATGCTTAGAAATAGGCAAAGATAGAAGTCAAGGTGAAGCAATCCTGTGCATCTCCAGTGCACAGAGCTGGAGGCCAATGGTATGACAAGCTCAAAATGATGCAATTGACCATGTCAGAGACATAATAAAGGAAGAACTGCAGTAACAAGCTGTGAGATCTATTCATGAGACGTGGATAAAACTCCTAATTTGAAATTACAAGGCTTAAGAAAACATGGACTCAGATGACGGTTATCCAGCACAGGTGAGAGAAACAGATGCATTTAGCATTCATGTGAAACTTTTTTTTTTGGTTGGTCTTGGGGCTTGAACTCTGAGCCTGGATACTGTCCCTGTCCCTGTACTCTTCACCTCAAGGAGAGTGCTCTACCACTTGAGCTAAAGTGTAACTTCCGGTTTTCTAGCGGTTTACTGGAGATAAGAGTCTCACTCACTTTCCTGCTGGGGCTGGCTTTGAACAATGATCCTCAGATCTCAGCCTCCTGAGTAGCTAGGATTACAGGCGTGAGCCACCAGCGCCTAGCTTCATGTGAAACTTTTCTGACAGGACTGAGGTTATGAGTGGGAAGGAGAAGAACAGTCACAGCCAGGACCTTGGCAGCCCCACTGCCACATCCCTGCCTCACATGGACTAAGACACCCTTCTTAGAGAACATTTCCAAAGAGGCTACAACTAACTCTGTGGATGGTCCTGACCCTCCGCCTCTATCTGACCTCCTACACCAAACTCCAATGCTACTTCACCTCACCCATTCCCCAAGTCCTCAATACAGTTTGGCAGGACTGAAGGATTAGCGAGGGCCTTCTTTTCCTAACTCACACCAGAGGAAAGGTCCTTACCCAGGCTGCCCATCACTGAGCCTCCGCCATGATAGAAGATGATTCCTCTCCGAAGGCTGGGCGATGCTGTCCTTGGCTGGAATAACCTCACAGGGATTGTCCCAAATCACAGGTTGGTCACCATCACTTTAGGGTCCTTCTTTATGGGTAGTAGGTTTTCCACAAACTGGATAAAGTGGAACATGGAGCAAATTCCCAGCTTCTCCAGTATATTCCCCTGTTGGAGATAAGATTCCTAATGGAAAATTCGCCTGGATTTGCTCTCAGAAACAGCAACTCATTTGTCTATTGGCTAAGGGACAATGCAACCACAAGGTTCACTGTGATGATAGGACTATAAGAAAAATACACATCTAGGGGCTGGGAAGGTGGCTCAGTGGTAGAGCGCTTGCCTTGCATGCATGAGGCCCTGGGTTCAATTCCTCAGCTCCACATAAGCAAAAAGAAAAAAGCCGGAAGTGGCACTGTGGCTCAAGTGATACAGCAGTAGCCTTGAGCTGAAGAGCTGAGGGACAGCGCCCAGGCCCAGAGTTCAGGCCCCACGACCGGACCCCAAAAAAAAAAAAAAAAGAAAATCTTGCTCTCCAGGAGAAAGCATTGAGTTGCATTCCAGTCAAAGAACTAAAAAGAAAATCGCAAGAAAAGCTATCCAGAGCTAGAAAGTTAGATAAAGTTAGTGATGAAGATTTCCTTTTGCTGGAGCTTCGACACTGGTTTAAAGAGGGATTTTTTCACTGGGTAAATAACATCTTGGCAGCAAATGTGGTGGAGAAACTAGGGTTAGAGAGAAATTATTGCCCAATGATGATGAGCTGAAGTGGGATGCAAACAATGTAGAAGATCATTACTGTGACGCATGCCAGTTCCGCAATCAGTTTCCAAGAAAAAAACAACCCTGAGAAACTTTTGGAAACAAGATGTGGACAATGTGACTAGTAGGCCAATTGCCTAACACTGTGCTGCTGAGCTTTCAGTTTTGAAGCTCGCTACATTTGGGATTATACCGCGTGAAGAGATAATCTCTAGGAGAACTGAAGACCTACTTCAAGAAACTATTAATGGGATTAATAAGCACAGACAACTATCTTTGTCAGAAAATAGAAGAAAAGAATTTCTCCAGGCTGGGAAGGTGGCTCAGTGGTAGAGCACTTGCCTTGCATGCATGAGGCCCTGGGTTCAATTCCTCAGCACCACATAAGCAAAAAGAAAAAAGCCGGAAGTGGTGCAGTGGCTCAAGTGATAGAGCGCTAGCCTTGAGCTGAAGAGCTGAGGGACAGCTCCCAGGCCCAGAGTTCAGGCCCCACAACCGGACCCCCCCCAAAAAAAGAACTTCTCCAGAGGATAATTGTAGAGCTTGTTGAATTTATATCTCCCAAAACCCCTAATCCTGGGGAGCTGGGTGGAAGAATATCTGGATCTGGCTAGGAGAGTGGCCTGAGGAGAAATGGGTCTAGAGAGAAAGGAAACCCTGTTTCATTCCTTCTGAAAATGAGAAGATATCTAAGCATTTCCACCTTTGCTACAATATGGTGAAAAATCATTATGTTTGAGTTTCAAATAGCAACCAAACCATTTCTGGATGGGAGAATGGTCTGTGGAAAATGGAATCCATATTCAGAAAAGTTGAAACAGACTGGAACATGGTATATTTGGCTCGAAAGGAAGGATCATCTTCTGCTTATATTTCCTGGACGTTTGAGTGTGGTTCAGTTGGCCTAAAAATAGATAGCATTTCCATCAGAGCAAGTAGTCAAACCTTTGAGACTGGAACAATAAGGTGGAAGTTGTGATCTGATACTACACATATAGCCCTGACAGGCGATAAAAATCTTCAGTTGTATAAAGATTTTTCTGGTGCCACTGAAGTTATTTTGGAAGCAGAGTTTAGCAAAGGAGATGGTGATGCTGCTTGGCAACATACACAGCTGTTGAGACAGAGCTTAAATGACCATGAAGAGAATGGTTTGGAGATAATCATAAAGCTCACTGAACTCTGATAACCTGACCATTCTAGAAAAGTGGGTATGGGCTGGGAAGGTGGCTCAGTGGTAGAGCGCTTGCCTTGCATGCCTGAGGCCCTGGGTTCGATTCCTCAGCACCACATAAGCAAAAAGAAAAAAGCCAGAAGTGGTGCTGTGGCTCAAGTGGTAGAGTGCTAGCCTTGAGCTGAAGAGCTGAGGGACAGCGCCCAGGCCCAGAGTACAAGCCCCATGACTGGACCCAAAAAAAAAAAAATTGTGGATAGAAAAGCAGGCAGTAATCAAGGATTTATCATGCAAGTTGTCTGGATTTAGTGCATGCTCATTTGGCAATTTACCACCTTGTGCCCACATATTTCTTTTGCTAGCTATCCCTCATTAAAATGCATCTTTATAATGTGAACCACAATGAATCTTGACTTGAAAACTCCCTTTCATATATCAATTCAGTGTAAAGTCTCTTGTCCCCATATGAGATTCTAATTCAAATAGTTTTAAAGAAAATGATGGTGTTCATGACTATTCTGTTCATAATTATGGTAAAATCTTGGGCTAATAGTAAATTAATTATTTTCTGGTCAGACACTAATGTCTTTATAAGTCATTGAATTTGATTTTCTTAATATTTTTACATTTTAATAAATGTGCTTAGTGCAGTATCTTATAGTTACATAATGCATGAAAATTTTTATGGTTGTAAATATATAGCTATTAAAGAAATAAAAATTATTTTGCCTTAAAAAAAAGTCTCACCACGAGGGAACATATTCTTTCACCAAATATTAACTCTAGAACATTATCATCTACTGCTTTTACCAAATTGATACCACAGATACTCTTAATCGATTTCATAGATGAACCTGAGACAGAGAGATTAAGCAAATAGCCCAAAATGGCACCATTAGTGGGAGACACCACAGACTGCCCAACAGACCTTGAACATTGGCTGCAGCCCCACCTGCACCCTCATACTTGCCCACGACAGATTATCAATGGGAATTGTCTTCTGAAATTGTTTTTGGACCTTGGAAAAGCTCCTGGTAGTTGGCACTTGGTAACTATGTAAAACTAAATAAATATAGGTAGGAAGTTTAAAAGGGTAGAAAAGAAGAAGAAACAGGGAAAGAAGGGACAGAAAGAAAGCAGGAAGAAAACAAAGAAGGAAGGAGAACAGAAAGGAAGGAGAAAGGAATAGAAAAATGGAAGAAAGAGGAAAGAAAGAGAGAGGGAGGAAAAGGAGGAAAACTGGGAGGAAGTAAAGAACTGAAGAAAATATGGGAGGAGAGAGAGAGAAGGAACAACAACAGATACAACAGGATAGTAATTTCTGTCCATGTATCTGATAACACAGTAATATAAACAAGGAAGCAGGGGCTATGTAGAGAGTAATATTCATTCATGAGGGCTGACTTACCCATGCCAACAAATAAAGCACCAAACAGTGCAGAAGCTGAATGCCAGGGGAGGTTTTCACCTTCAGGAAGTGCTGAGCCACCACCCAGACAAAGACCCCCAGGGAAAAAGCAGACAGTCCTCCTAGCCGAACCAACAACAGCAAAGCCATGGTTCCGAGGCCCGAAGGAGCTACTGCCCTAGGAAAACCAGTTGAGCACCTATCAAAGAGCACCTTACCTGGTTATATGGACTTCCACAGCCACTCCTGTTTGTGAGCTCCGTGTGACACCATGACTTGACCTGATCTCTTAGATACCAACACAAGTTAGTCGATTGGAGCTGAAGGAACCTGCTCCACAAAAACAAGGGATCAAGAATTCCATCTGGTCCACCAGCAGGAATTTGGAAGGAAGGCTTCCGAAAGATGGGCAAGGATCAGTCTCTTATGGCATCACACATCTAGGGAACAGAGGAAAAGGTATCACATGAGATATATAAATCCTTCAGCCTGACAAGTAGAATAAATGATCCCTTCCACAAATGTGTTGTGTCACCTTTGAAGGTGTCAAATTAGAAGCTGGATGCCTATAAGGAAATAGTCTATGCGAGTGACTGATTGCCAGAGAAAGTCTGATTTTCATCATCACACAATGAAAGTCAAAGCATATAAAGAAACAAGAAACACTGATCCATGCAAAGTAAACGTCATAAGCAACAGAAACATTACTTTGTAGAAACCCAGTACCATACTTAATACAGACTTTATACCAGACAAGTAATGCCTGTAATCTCGGGCTTAAGCCTAGAGAACTGAGGTTTGAGGCTGCCAGGAAAATGTTACTGATACCCGCTCTCAACAAGTAGGCACAAGGTGGGCACAAGTGGCTCAAGCCTGTAATCCTAGCTACCCAGGGCTGAGATCTGCAGATTGTGGCTCAAAGGCCAGCCTGGGTAGGAAAGTTCATGAGACTCTTATCTCCAATTAATGACCAGAAAATCTGAAGTGGAGCTGTGGATCAAGCACTTGCCTAGAGCTGAAGAGCTCAGGGACAGCAACCAGGCCTAGAGTTCAAGCTCTGTGACAGACAAAAAGAAACAAGAAACAAGTAGGCACTGTTTTGTATTACAGCTGTAATCCCAGCTACGTAAGAAGCCATAGGAAGGATGATGATGATCCAAGGCCAGCCCAGAAACAAACATGAGACACTATCCAAAATTATATATTTAAAAGCAAGATGCAGTGGCGCTGTAGCTCAAGTGGTAGAGCGCTCGCCTTGAGTTGAAGAGCTGAGGGACAGCGCCCAGGCCCAGAGTTCAAGCCCCACGACCGACAAAAAAAAAAAAAAACTAAAAACAAGATGCCATTGGGGTGTGATGTAGGTAGTAGAGTACATGATTAGCAACTTGGCTTTGAATTCAAACCACAGTTTCACCAAAGAAAGAAATGCATAAAAGTAAAAGCAAACAAAAAACAAAATCCCATTATGTAAATATGCTTTCAAAAGTTAAAAGAAATCATGCATAAAGAAGCCAGGCACAAGTTATGTGCTGGTGGCTCAAGCATGTAATCCTAGCTACTCAAGAGGCTGAGATCTGAAGATCACAGTTTGAAGCCAGCCTGCACAGAAAACTTCTTTGGTAAATATCTGCAAGACAAGAAAAGACCCAGAATGGTCCATAAGGAGGGTCCATAGCTTCCCACTAGAGGCTCTGGGGTTGACATCTTCACTCAGTAACTATGCCTGCCTTCTCTTAAATGACCCTTACCAGCTCTACCTGAAGAATCCCTTACACAATCTATCCAGTGTCAAAACTCAAGTCAACATTGGGACTTGCCTTCTACAAATTCATAAACTTACAGTGGAGAAAACTGAGGTCCAGTCACAATAAGAGCTCTAAAATGGGCAAAGCCAGCACTAAGGAATTTGGACTCAATTCCCAGGAACATTAAAAATTTCATGTATTTATACTGATTAAAACATGAACGAGGGCCTGGGAATGTGGCTTAGTGGTAGAGTGCTTGCCTAGCATACAAGAAGCCCTAGGTTCAATTCCTCAGTACCATCTACACAAAAAAGCCGGAAGTGGCACTGTGGCTCAAGTCGTGGAGTGCTAGCCTTGAGTAAAAAGAAGCTCAGGGCCACTGGCCAGGCTCTGAGTTCAAGCCCCAGGCCACAAAGTAATAAACGATGTGTAATGGGACATTTTAATGAGTAGTGACTTCATCTGAAGTTCTAGGTGGGAGAACCTTTCATGTTAGTGGCACAGTGCACCTTGACACAGTGCTGAGCACAGAGCCTGCGACATATACCTCCTACTGAGTCTGGCCCTGTCTTTATTGACCCCACTGAGGCAATAGGAAGTCTTTGGACATCCACAGCCTGGACTGCCCCTACCAACTGAGTCACAATCTGGGTGGAGATTGGGCACAAGGGTTTTCTAAATCACACCAGGTAATTCCACTGTTGAAAAGTTGTTCAGAGTTCAGACCTTACAACTGATAAAAAAAAAAAAGAGAGAGCTGGGAAGGTGGCTCAGTGGTAGAGCACTTGCCTTGCATGCCTGAGGCCCTGGGTTTGATTCCTCAGCACCACATAAGCAAAAAAGAAAAAAGCCAGAAATGGCACTGTGGCTCAAGTGGTAGAGCAGTAGCCTTGAGCTGAAGAGCTGAGGGACAGCGCCCAGGCCCAGAGTTCAGGCCCTACGACCGGACCCAAAAGAAAAGAAAGAAAGAAAAGGAGTTGTTGGGGGATGCTTACTGGGGTCGGGAGACTAAGACAGGGCAGGAATGGGGCAAATTAGGCATCTACCTCAGCTCCAAGGCATATTAGTAAGGTGATAATAATTAGATCTTTCTGTCTTCCAAACAAATAGCATTTTGACATCCTGTTGATAAATCAAAATTAATATCAAACATGCCACAATTAGCATACTGATATACATTTAAAAACAAAAACAATAGGACAGACACTGGGGAAATCAGCAACAAACAACAGAAGTCAACCCCGCTCTCTTGATTCCCCATTCTTAGTGAAGGAAGGGAAACAGTATGCAGGAAACACACTGTGGCACACTTAGATGATCTCAGATTAGATTAAGAACCACAGCACGTGTAACCAGGAAGACAGATGTCAGGGAAAGAGACTAAGGAGCAGGATCTGACCCCAGCGTGACAGTGACAGTTCTGTAGGTAAGATATTGGGAGAAGCCACTACTGGAAGGACCATTAGAGATCTGAAGGTAGAGTGAGGGCTCATCAGTCATGCCTTGTCAGGGATGAGAACATCATCTGATGCTTAGAAATCAACCAGGGCAGAAGTCAAGGGGTAGCAGTCCTGTGCATCAACAGTGCACAAAGGTGGAGGGCTTGCAGCCCAGCAAGCTCAAGATGGTGGAAGTCACCTTGCATCAAGATGATGTGGAGACACAATAGAGGTCTACAGGAAGGACTGCAGTGACAAGAGTTCCTGAGGCTTGGTAAAAGTGCCACTTTCAAAAAACTGGGGTCCAGAAAACACAGACTAGCACCATGGTTGTCCAGCACAGATGAAGGAAACTGATGCACTTGGTATTCCCATGACTTTCCAAACAGGACTGAGGTTATGAGTGGGAAGGAGAAGAACAGTCACAGCCAGGACCTTGGCAGCCCCACTGCCACATCCCTGCCTCACATGGACTAGGACACCATTGCTTAGAGAACATTTCCAGAAAGGCTACAACTAACTCTGTGGATGGTCCTGACCCTCCGCCTCTATCTGACCTCCTACACCAAACTCCAATGCTACTTCACCTCACCCCTTCCCCAAGTCCTCAATACAGTTTGGCAAGGCTGAGGGATTAGCGAGGGCCTTCTTTTCCTAACTCACACCAGAGGAAAGGTCCTTACCCAGGCTGCCCATCACTGAGCCTCCTCCATGATAGAAGATGATTCCTCTCCGAAGGCTGAGTGATGCTGTCTTGGGCTGGAATAACCCCATAGGGATTGTCCCAAATCGCAGGTTGGTCACCATCACTTTGTGGTCCTTCCTTATAGGTAGTAGGACCAAAGGAAGCAGGAAATAAAACTACACTAAAATTAAAAATATAACAGGAATTGCACCTGTCAATTCTATCACTCAATACCAATGAGCTCAACTCTCCAATCAAAAGATACAGATTGGTAAGTTGGATCCAAAGGTAAAATTCAACAATCTGTTGTTTATAAGAGACATCTACCTGACAAGAAGGAAAAAAAAAAACACCTTCCTATCTATCTGATGGGCACAGGGGAGGAAGGGGGACCTTCCTAAATATTAAAGATTGGGGGAAAAAATCTTTAAGGCAAATGAAATCCATAAGAAGGCAGGAGTCGCTAATACTTAAATCAAACAAAGTAGACCTCAAATCTGAATTATTCAGAAGAGACAAAGAAAGCTTCTTCGTATTAAGAAAGGGAGCTTCTCATCAAGAGGACATAACAATTCTTAGCATATATGTACCAAATGCAGCGGCTCTCAATTTCACTAAACAAACACTATTTATTGAATTTTGACATTGGCATAGTTTCCAACATAATCATAGTCTCACCAAAAGACATGTCAGCCAGGCAAATACTCTACACAGAAACCTCAGACCTGAATGACATCATAAACCAAGTGGACCTAACAGATATATACAGATTCTTTTGTCAGTTGTGGGGCTTGAATTCTGGGTCTGGGCACTGTCCTTCAGCTCTTCAGCTCAAGGCTAGCACTCTACTACTTGAGCAATAGCCCTGGTTTTCTCATGCTTAATTAGAGATAAGTCTCACAGATTTTCCTCCCCAGGCTGGCTTTGAACTGTGATCCTTAACTCTTAGCTTCGTGAGTAGCTAGGATTACAGGCATGAGCCACCGATGCCCGGCTATACAGAATTTTATCCAGAAGCTGCATGATATATATTTTATGCAAGATCCCATGGAATATTTTCCAAAACAGACCTCAGAGTAGGTTATAAAACAAGTCTCATCAAATGCAAGAAAAGTGAAATTACCTCTTGTATCCTTCAGACAATAATCTGGTAAATTAGAGATTAAGAGCAAAAGAAACATCAGAAAATATCAAACTCTGGAAACTGAACAACACAATGCTAAAGGATGAATGAGTCATCAGAGATAAAAAGGAGAATCCAAACTGAAATGGAAAGCGCAT